GTGTTGAGAGCATCCTAGTGAGCAGAGGGATATCTGCAACTTTCAGGTCATGTTCTTAAAGGAATGGGTCTGCCCTCTACTTCTCCTTCTCCCGTTTCCACAGACTGGAATCTCATGGGCATGATATGGCAGCTGGAGCAGCCATCTTAGGCCACGAGATGAAAGTTACATGTTGAAGATGACAGAGTAGCAAGCCAGGAAAAGCTAGGATCCTGACATTGTGGAGTGACTGTATTAACCCCAGACTACTTTGCACAGGTCATACTTGAGAAAGAAGTAAACTTCTATCTTGAATAAAACACTGTATTTTGGAGACTGTGATATTGCAGCTTCATTTGAATTGTAACTCATTCAGAGGTGACTGGAATTGCCTTGGCAAATAATGATGGTGGCTCTGATGAGGGTAGGAGTGGTATAAGTGACCAGATTTTGTAGATAATTTAAAGGGTACAACTGACAGCATTTCCTGAGGAATTGGATAAGGGGGCATGAAAGAAAGAGAAGAGCCACGAATAACTTCAAAGTGTGGAACCTGGTACAACCGAGTTGCATTTATTGCAATAGAGGAGACTGGGGAACCAGTGTGTTTGAGCGGACTGTGAGTGACATTCACAAGGAGATGTCAAGTAGCAGCTGGATATGATTCTAAAGTTCAGGGGAGATGTAGGGGCTGACGATATCCATTTGGGATTTATCAACATGTAGCTGAATTTAACGTCCTGAGATAGATGGGATTTCTTAGGGAATGAGAGTAGATAGAGTAGAATAGAGGTGTGATGATAGTCCAGGGGCATCCCAGAGATGGGGAAGATGAAGAGGAGCCAGCACAGGTAGGAAAAGAACTGAAAAAGAAGTGTCTTGGAAGCCAAATAAAAAGAGTGTTTTAAGAAGAAATGAGTGACCATCCATGACAAATGCTGCTGCTAAGATGAATAAGATGAGGATAGAGAGATGAATTCTGAAATTGGCAACAGAGAAGTCATTGGTGACACTGACACAAGAATTTTCAGTGGGGCGTAGAGAACAAGACAGAATGAAAAGAGAGGAAGTACAGACAACTCTGAATTCTGGGCAAGTAGAAATCATTCCAGCAATCTAACTTCCACCCTTCCTATCATAGTTCCAAGCATTCAGAAAAACATGAGGGCACCCGTGCCCATGTGTCTGAACGACCCTGCAGTCTCTTCTCTCCTGGATTCCCCAGGCTTCGGAGCCCAGTCTCCCTGTAGCTCTGTCTCTGCCTGCTGGCTCCCAAGGCCGCTGTCAAGGACTGCCTGCGCAGGCTAGCAGCCAGGCCTGACTCTCCTGGATCATAATTAGTGCTGCTGCTAACGATGTTTGGCCCCTGTGGAATAGCAACCTGGGAAATTCTGGTACTTCCAATTTTCCCCCTCAGTGCTTTCCCAGATGCAATTTCCCAGTCAGTGCCCGTGCTGCCTCCTCACCAGGGAGAATGAAGGCAGTGCCTCAGATGCCATTCCAGACGGCCTAATCAGCTAGCTGAAGTCATGTCCTGGCCATTATCATGGCATTATCACATTAATACAGGCACCGGCTTTGAAAAAGGCAGGGAGGTTGCTGTGAGGAAGAGGTGGGGGCACCAGGCCAGCTCCACACAGCACACAGTAAGCATTGCTAGTGGCGTGATCAGAAAACTGATGGCTAGAAAGGAACCCGCCCGGAAGAGCTCTGGAGTTTCCAGCAGAGATGCAGCTCAACCATTCACTCTTCCCCAGCCTAACTCCTGGCCTCTTGCCCTGGAAAGTGCTCATATCATAGCAGTCCTAATCTCCCAGGTTTGGAGAGTTTACTTCATGGCCCCAATGGGCCTCCAGCTCTCTAGGGCAGAGGGCTACGGTGGGTCCCAGGGCGCAGGGTCTTAGAAGAGAGGGTTGCCTTGGGTTAAGGGCCCTGGGATTAACTGGACCTTGGCTTCTGCTACAGGAGATAAAGACAGAAACCAACATTTACAGGGCAGCTGTTACATGGAAGACCAATGTAAAGGTTTGGTGTGTTTTTTTAATGTAAAACATACATAAGATTTACCATTTTAAATGTACAGTTCTGTGACATTTGTACATTCATAATGTTGGACAACCATCGCCAATATCTCGCTCCAGAACTTTTTCATCTTACCCAACTAAAACTCTGTACCCAGTAAACACTAACTCCCCCAGTGTAGGATCTTGCATATTTATCTCTTGTAATCCTTATTGTGAGATAGGAATCCCCATTTTACCAATGAGGACACTAAGAAACAGACTGGGAAAGTAGCGCTGCCTTTCCTGAGGACAGACAGTCAAGAAGAGGACCTGAATCCCACTCTACCCTATTCCAAAGCTGTGCTCTCTGTAGTTCCCCACCCTGAGCTACCCAAGGTCTAGGGGCCATTATGTGAATGGCACTGCTGAGTGATGTCACTGACAACTAGTGACTTCACACATAACATCACACACCAAACTGGCTGGCAATGGGAGGGCTTCTAGTCAGCATGGTTTTTACTTCTCAGGAAGGATTCCCAAAACACAGGCAGACATGATTAATGAGGCTTTTGACCCCCTCAGAGCACATAGCACATCCTTCTTTAAATTGGTACCTCTCTCCAAAATTAACTGTGTTCATTCCAGGGTGTTGAGTCCTTGACTGCTCAGGGACGCGCCCTCTACAGTGTGAATAAAAGGAGCACAAGTTGTGTGGTCAGATGGGCTTGGGTTCAGGTTCTGACTCTGTAATTCTAAGACCATTTGAGTCCAACTCTTAAGGTAAAGTTAGCTCAAACATGGAAGGTTAGTGTCAGAATGCATGAGGAGCCACGTGGGGCTTCTCAGGATACTCCAGGGACAGGTGCTCAAACTGGAAGGAATCTAGACAGAAGATTGCTCAATGGCTGAAGGTCATAGCTCTTCTTTGCCAAGTTCCAACTGCCCTTAATGTAAATCGGATACACTGGGCAAGTTTGTTTCTCTCCCAGGCTCTGGTTGCTGCTGAGAACCCTTTACTTTAGGTTGCGGTTTGTAAGAGAGGGAATCGAATTGGCCCAGTTCGTCTTTTTTCCACTGGGCCATAAATTAGAGTGACTGGCCAGTCTATATACTGACTGACTTTGGTCAGAACCTCCCTCTGGTCCAATCACCTAGGGCAGAGGAGGTAGGTGAGTGAAGATTTAAGAAACTGGGGGTGAGGTTTCATGTGGTATAGAATATGGCCTGCAGCCAAGTTTTGGCCAGTACAGAGTCTCTTAAAAAGGGCTGTGGAATGGGTAGATAAATAGGTCTAATATACTATATTAAATATACAAGTAACTGAATCTCTCTGGCCTCAGTTGTTTTCTCATCTATATAAATGGGACAATAATTTCAACCTCATATGGTGGTTGTAAAGACTGAATGAGAGAACAAAAGTCAAAGGGGCTGGTAGGTGCTTAACTCTTTTCGGTCCAACCTCGAAGCTGACTTGACAGACTAGGCGCTAGGAGCAGGTCCAACGTCGAGCAATAAGAACATTAAAAAGTTCAACATTCAATCCCGTCAATTAATTTGGACCAGACTGTTTGAATTCCAAAAATAACATTGGACCGCAAAGGGTTAACACAGCAGGTGTGTAATAATAAATGTTGGTTTCCCTTCCTTCCTATAGGAAAGGCCACTTTCAGTGCTATATTTACCTCAGCTAAAATAAAATAAACCAAGATGGGGGTTCTGTCTTCTACAGCAGATTAAAGTCTCCCTGAGGACAAACATCATGACTCATTCTCCTTTTGTCCCCCTCTTGGCTCCTTGATATATTTTATTCTCTCTTGCTGAAATAGGCCTCCTAACCAAGCACCTAGTAGGAGAGAGATGAGGTGTCCTCCTTTATATTCCTGAAAGGCCAGTATTGCTAGCTAACCTCCAAAAGCCATTGGCAGCATAAGTGATGGGGAGCACTGAGGGCTCCTATGTCAAAAGGAAGATTAATGTGCCCCAGCTCTTAGGAGGACACTTTGATGGAAAGCCTGGGACAAGGCAGCATTTTTCTTTGAAATGCTATGAGACAATAGAAATAAAAATAGGTCTTCCCCCAACTCAGGGGCCTAGGGCAGAAGACTTATTTTTCAATGGCTAATCTATGCTCAGAGGAGTTGTCCTAGGCCTCATTTGATCACTGACTCAGTAAATTAAATATTTATAAAATGTCTGCTATCATGGAACTGAGGAGCTCATCAGGGAGAGACAATAATCAAACAATCCCACTCATGATAGTACAAACCATAACGAGCATTATGAAGGGAAGAAACATGCTCTAGGGGAGCATATACCAAAGAACCTGACCTAGAATTGGGAGTCAGACCATGTTAAAGATTTTGACCTTCATTGTGAAAGCAGCAATGGGAGGTCACTGAAAGATTTAAGCAGGGTTTTGGCATCAGATTTGTGTTTTGAAAAGACCACTCAACTTTAGAGAATAGCTTGTAAGAGAACTGCTGTAATTCCAGCGAGAGATAATGGTGTCTTTGACTTTGATAGTGGTGGTGGTGGTAAAGATAGAAAGAAGTGATAGACTAAAAGGATATTTAGCCCCAGCCATGTGGCTCAGTGGTTGAGTGTCAACCTATGAACCAGGAGGTCACGGTTCGATTCTCAATCAGGGCACATGCCCGAGTTGTGGGCTCAATCCCCAGTAGGGTGTGTGCAGGAGGCAGCTGATCAACAATTCTTTCTCACCACTGATGTTTCTATCTCTCTCTCCCTCTCCCTTCCTCTTTGAAATCAACTTAAAAAAATTTTTTTTAAATAAAAGGATATTTAGGAGGCCCTGGTCAGGTAACTCAGTTGATTACAGAATGTCGTCTCTATGTGTCAAGCAAGATTGTGGGTTCAATCCACCATCAGGGTGCATACAAGAATCAATCAATAAATGTACAAATAAGTGGACTAGCAAATCTCTCTCTCTTCCTCTCTCTCTCTCTCACCAAAAAAATTAATAAAAGAAATTTAGGAGATAAAATTAACAGACTTGATATTTTATTGTATAAGGGGGAGGTGAATGTGGTAAGGACAAGGATTCTGGCTTCTTAAATGTAAATGGATGGAAGACAATAAGGGAGAAGACCACAAGTGAAGTCTTAGACAGGTTATCTGGGAGAAGTCTTTGAGTCAAGTGCCAATGTTGAATCAGCAGCTAGATATATGGTTCCGGAGCTCCAATGAGAAGTCAGGGCTCGAGATAACACATGTATGGGTCATTTGCTCAGAGGTTGTTCAAAAGAGTAGAAGAGTTCACCTAAGGAGAGAGTAGAGAGTGAAAAAGAAAAGAGGACCTAGGGTCAAACCCTGAACTCAGACATGTCATTTAGGGCAGTGGTTCTCAAGGTGTGATCCATAGACCTTTAGGAGTTTTCCAAGACCCTAAGAGTCCACAAGGTCAAAACTCTTTTCCTAACACTTTCAGACATTATTGGTCTTTTTCACTGTGTTCACTTTTGTACTAATGGTACAAAAGCAATATTGAATAAAATAGCTTGCACCTTAGCACAAATCAAAGCAGTGGCACTAAACTGTACTAGCAGTCCTCATACTCCTCTCTGCCATACATATGCAGTTAAAAAAAAATCACTTTCACTTAGGAATAGCCTTGATAAAACAGTACAAATTATTAATTTTCACTAAATCTCAACCCTTGAGTAATGTTTTTAATATTCTGTCTGGTGAAATAGAAAATACACATAAAACAGGTCTTCTGTATTCCAAGTACAATGGTGGTTGTCTCCAGGAAAAGCACTTTTGCAATTGTTTGAGTTTCAAGCTGAACTAGCCTCTCTCTTCATGGAACATCATTTTTACTTGAAAGAACTGAAAGACAAACTAAGATTATTCAGACTTGAGTGTTTGGCAGACAATTTCCCCAAAATGAACAAAGCGAGCCTGTCACTTCAAGGAAAACAACCGAAAGCATTTGTTGCCAATGATAAAATTCAAGCTTACAAGTAAAAATCAGAATTTTGGAACACTTGTACCTACCACCATGAACATGACAGCTTCCCAATGCTTTAAGATTTCTCTAAAGAGATTGATGGTGATATTATGAATGTGATTTAGAAAACATAATGAAATGTATCAACATTTGGAAGATCTGTATAATTCAAGAGAATCTATATTTTCCAAATGACCAGTGCATGACGTTACAAAATCTATTCCAAGTGTAAGATAATATCCAGGCCAGGTATTCATTTGGTTAGAGTGTCATCTCAATACACCTAGGTTTCAGGTTTGATCCCCAGTCAGGGCACATACAAGAATCATCCAAAGAATGCATAGGTAAGTGGAAGAGCAGATCAATGGTTTGTTTTTTTTCTCTCTCTCTCTTCCCCTTTCCCTTCCTTCCTCTCTTTCTCTAAAAATCAATCAATCAATCAATAAAGTCCTGGCTGATGTACCTCAGTTGGTTGGGTATCCTCACATGTACCAAAAGGTTGCCGGTTTGATTCCCGGTCAGGGCATATGCTCAGGTTGCGGGCTCAATCCCCAGTCAGGGGTGTGCAGGAGGCAGCAGATCAATATTTCTCTCTCTCATCGCTGTTTCTCCCTTCCTCTCTCTCTAAAATCAATAAAACATATTTAAAAATAAATAAATAAAAGGATTTTTTAAAGTGCAAGATAAACAAATACATTTAATGTAATAGAGTAGGAATTGATTGATATAGTTTCAGATTCCACATTGCAACTAACCTTTAAGAAGTCACTATGTGTCAAGTTTCAGTGTAGTATCAAAGAAAAATAACTACAATTATTTGAAAACTAAAATACTCCCTTTCCCAACTCTATAGAAGTCAGATTTTCTCCATGTACTTCAACCAAAACATATGGAAACTGATTGACGCATCTGAGAGAGCAAGATGAGTCATCAGCAGCTCTACTGGCGTCATCTGACAAAATTTGGCCAGGGATCTCATTCTTTTCATAGATGACAGAGATAGAGATAGAGATAGAGATAGAGAGGGATAGATAGAGACAGAGAGAGAAAGAGATGAGAGATAGAGATCTATAGATATACCGACAGTCCACAGGTTACATCAGACTTGACATATGTCGTTTCGTGGTTATGTCACCAACTCCCATTTATTTATAAAAAAAAAAAGTTCCATCATTTTGACGTATGTACACATATGTGCTTTATGTTTTTTATTATTTATTTACCACAAGTAAAGGTCAGGAATTGTTATCTTTGTTTTAAATTTTTTTTACTGTTTCACTTCATTACTGCTGTGTATGTGCTCCACGTGAGTGACGTAGGTGCTTATGTAGGTGGGTTCCGACTTTCGGCGAAAATCGCATTACGTCGCGCCATAGGAACAGATCTCCGATGTAACCCGAGGACCTACTGTATACTAGTATATACATACACACACATATACATAATACATACTTAAATATATTTTTATTGCTTTCAGAGAGGAAGGGAGGAGAGAGAGATAGAAACATCAATGGTGAGGGAGAATCATTGATCTGCTGCCTCCTGCACACCCACTACTAGGGATTAAGGCCACAACCCAGGCATGTGTCCTGTCCGGGAATCAAACTGTGACCTCCTGCTTCATAGGTCTACACTTAACCACTGAGCCACACCAGCTGGGCCAGGGTTCTCATTCTTGTCCCATTTGCTGTCAACATGTGTCACCAGTGATTCTGTCAGTTTGCGAAGAATATAGGCTTCATGGACTTAGTGAACTTCCTTGAATGGGTCATTCAAGAAAGAAACAATGCTAGCTAGCTCTTTGTACATAAAATAAAATTTTGCCTAGCCAGCGTGGCTCAGTGGTTGAGTGTCTACCTGTGTACCAGGAGGTTATGGTGTGATTCCCTGTTGCAGGCTCCATCCCCTGTGCGGGGTGTTCAGAAGGCAGCCAATCAATGATTCTCTCTCATCACTGATGTTTCTCTCTCTCTCCCTCTCACTTCTTCTCTAAATCAATAAAAATATATTTTTTAAAATAAAATTTTTTAAACTTAAAAAAAAGAAACTGATTTAATGCAAAAGTAGAAATGAGAATCCGGATGTCTTCTGTTAAGCCAGATATTAAAGAGATTTTCAAAAATGCAAAACATGCCAATCTTATCACTATTTTTTTTCATTTTAAAAAATATAGTTCTTTTTTCACCAAAATTTGTTATTTATGTTAACATATCATGGTTTATTGTTGTTATTTTTAATGAATTAATATTTTAATTTCTCAGTTTTAATTTTTAATACAGTAAATATCAATAGATATGACCCACATAAATAAAAGCTCTGGGAAGCCCTCAATAATTTTTAAGAATGTAAAGGAATCCTGAGACCAAAAAACTTGAGAACCGCTTATTTATAAACTGCAATCCCCTCCATTTCCATGAACAAACAACTGGGAATAAAGTATCCCTTCTAGGGAGTGGCAAGAAATATTCAAAGTGATGAATACCAAGAACCTACAACCAAGATTACTTTATCCAGCAAAGCTATCATTCAGAATTGAAGGTCAGATAAAGAGCTTCACAGATAAGGAAAAGCTAAAGGAGTTCATCACCACCAAACGAGTATTATATGAAATGCTGAAAGGTATCCTTTAAGAAGAGGAAGAAGAAGAAAAAGGTAAAGATACAAATTATGAACAACAAATATGCATCTATCAACAAGTGAATCTAAGAATCAAGTGAATAAATAACCTGATGTACAGAATGAACTGGTGATTATAATAGAATCAGGGACATAGAAAGGGAATGGACTGACTATTCTTGGGGGGAAAAGGGGTGTGGGAGATGCGGGAAGAGACTGGACAAAAATCGTGCACCTATGGATGAGGACAGTGGGTGGGGCGTGAGGGCGGAGGGTGGGGTGGGAGCTGGAAGGAGGGGAGTTATGGGGGGAAAAAAAGAGGAACAAATGTAATAATCTGAACAATAAAGATTAAAAAAAAAGTATCCCTTCTAATCTGTAAATATCTCTAGAGAAGAGAAAATATTATGGCTCACATGTACTCACACAATGTTTTGGAACTGCAGAGATGGACCCCCCTCAGTACACAAAAGGTACCAGGAAAAGCCCCACCCACTCTTGCTCTCTTCCCCCCAAAAGTGATGGTTCACATGAGTCTGTAAAACCCAACATCTTACTCTATTGGTGCCACCTCCTCTTCCCATCAGCATATCCTACCCTTGATTTTTCATTCCAGGTCAAGGCACTGCTAGAGGAAGGGAACACGAAGGGGCAAATAGGGTCAGATGTGTTTCTGAAATGCCAGCACATTCAATTTGTTGGTATTTTGCATGCATTTCCTCTTGAGTTCACAGGCTCCTAACTCAGCAGAATTAAAATGGAATGAAGTAATTAGAGCAGCAGGCGGCTGGGATGTTCTGGGTCTGGCATACACAGAAAATGTGGAGCAGGAGAAAAAGAACAGAAGAGAGCCTTAAAACCAAAGGCTAGGCATGAGACCCATCCCAAGGACCAGCTCCTTGGGAAAGCCTCTCCTAACCTCCCTAGTCCCTGGATCAGAAGCTCTCTCCTCAGCTTCGCTTCCTAAGAATCTACTCCTAGCCTGGCCCCTCACAATCAGGCTCCAATCTTCCTTTCTAGTCCTCTTTTCAGACACTCCCAGCAGATGCACCTTACCTCTACTCATACTAATCCATCATTGCCCCCTGATAGCATGGTTCTTTGTGGCTTTGTACCTGCATTTATCACACTGTACTGAAATAATTGCTTACAGGTCTGACTCTCCCATGAGACCAGTGGCTCCCCAACCTCTGGATTTCAAGCATACATTGCATCCTACTCACTAAGCAAACTGCCACCTCAGAACAAGATTTTCTCCATTTGGTACCCAGATTGACTCCTAAATTAGTTTAAACCTACAAACCCTGCTACAATGATGCAGCCTGGTTGTAGTGCATTAGGTGCTGACTAAGCTATCACAGGGATGGGTGGGTGGGTTATTTGTGCTTGGGCCATGGAAACCCTGAATGCCTGGCTAATTTTGATAAAAGCTGGTGATCACATTCCATTACTCCATAAAGGACAGGGTCAGAGGCATCCCACTGGCTTTACCAGCTTTTCCTGTTACACTTGCTGGATCTCTCTGTAGAACTGCTGACCTTCCTCTAACTGGATGAGTTAAACCCAGACCTCCTGTGATTGTGAATTCCTGGAATATAACCATGCCTTCTTTTATTTATATACTAGTATATAATTTTATTTATTTCAGAGAGGAAGGGAGAGGGAGAGAGAGATAGAAACATCAATGATGAGAG